AACTGAAGCCATGGGGTCACTGCGTTTGGCTTGCTGGTTGCACCTTTGGTTTTATGATGGGTGCGTAAGCAGAAGGAAACAGCATTCTCCTCCATTTACTTCACCAGAATGAAGTTCCTCAGGCAGCTGTTCTGCTGCTTTTGTTTGGGTCATAAAACGGGAAGGGTGGTCTTCATATACACTTTTTCTTTTTTATTAAAATGTAGAAAATGGTTAATGTGGGGTTTTTTGTGTTGAAGGTGATTTATCTCAACTGTCTGTTTCTTCTGGCTTTTATTGATGTTTATAAACCTGAGTGGAAAAACTGAGAAAAAGCTAAACACCCAAACCAGCTTCCTTGCAGTCTTCTGCCATGTTCTTGGTTTTGAAAGAAAAGTTAATTTTATGGTAGTTCTGTCAAACATAAAACATAACCTTGTTTAAACAATGAGCTGTCTTTGCTCAAATATACATTCGTTTGGACTACTGTGTGTGATTTCTGCTTTACAGGACATTTATGTGCTGCCCTTTGCAACTATTTTCAGAGTCACTGATCAAAATCACTGCAGTGGAATATGAGAAAACATGTATTTTTTAATGTGAAAACATAACTTCTTGAAAGATGCAGTGTGCAATTGTAGTTGCAACCTGGCAGCCTGTCTGTTGCAGCCGTGTGCTTGTGTCTAAACACTGAAGCAATTCTGCTACGCAGAACTGCATGCGGTCTTATTTTGTTCTCTTAGGCTGTGAAAAAACATCCTGAAACTGAGAGGTAAAATGGAGGTATTTTTATGGTCATTTAGGCATTCTTTCAGAAGGGTCTGCTGGGAGCATGGATGATACCTGGTAATCTTCCATTTTTCCTGAAGTACAGTTTCCTAACTTTGGAAACCAGAAATCTGTTGAGCTATTAACTACTTGGAAGCAAATTCTATTTAGGTGATAAACCAGCTTGGGGCTGCAGGTTTGGATGGGCAGCTTGGCCATGTGAATTTCTGTTGACTCCCCTTTATTGTCTCTCTTGAAGGTAATCATTGTATTGTTACCATTAAACATTAAGATGATTCTAGCTGTGTCTTTTTGAAGAATAATCTCAAAATGCATATCTAATTAATGGGGAAATAGAAGAGCTTGATAACAAGAATTTTTGAAGTTTTGTAATACTGTAATAAGTGCTTTGTCTCATTTACAAAATGATGATTAAATAACCCAGAGCCTCTTCAAGGGTGTGATTTGATAGGAAGAGTTCTTCATGTTTGCTAATGTGGCTCCCATACTAAGTGATCTGAATGCATATCTGTTACTGTGAACTGGGAAAGTTACACTAAAATTTGCTTTGTTTTCTGTTTCTCATTTATGTATGCAGAAACATGTGGCGTGGAGATTTGGCAGGAGATGTGACTGGAGAGAAGTCTGCAAGGGGTGTTCAGTCCTTCACAGTCTTGTTTTGAACAGATAGACCTGCTGGAAGTTGAATTAGGCAGAACTGAATGTTGGCTTGAGCGTTTCTATGTGGTTTTCAGGTAGTGAGCTACCTCAGTGACAGCAGTGAAATGTCAGGTGAATCCTGAGAGGAGGCGAGTAGGGACCAGCTTCTCCTCTTAGCAATTGTATTGTCCAGAGCAATCTCAGTGCCACTTTAACAATTCACTTAAGTCTTTTGTCAGGGGAAGTCTCTTGTTCACTCTGTTGCTTTCTTCCAGCTGCTTCAGACCTGCATTTGCTGTGGTGGTTTTGTGACCAGCTAATTCATGCTGAGGAGATGGAAGGTCAGATGAGGGAACCTCTGAAAACTTTATTGTCATCTAGTTAACTTAAATGTCTAAAAAGACATTACTGTCCAAACCTGAAGCTTTTTCTTGCTCATAGTTATGCTGTGTAGGAAGTTCTTCAGGTAATCTGGCATCTGTAGGTTCTCAAGGAGAAGCTGCAGGAGATCTCATTCCATAGTCCTCCTCTTGACCAGCCGATGAAAAGGGGCAAATATTTGTTGAAAAGCACCTTTACAGCAGCCTCTAGACACAGTACACAATTACACAATCATAAACAAATAATTGTGGACATATTCTGTGGAATACATGGGCTGTGGTGATTTTTTGCTGTATTTCAGTAATTAATTGTATTAATTTCATTTTTTTGTCCACATAATTAAGTGGGTGTAAACTTCTCAGGGGGCTCAAGTTCATATGTTTTTGCATCCAAAACCAGAACTGTGTTCAAGGGCTAGTCAGGGAAACACTTTTTTTAGTCAGTTAGCTATGCTGGTATGGATGAATAAATGTGAAATCTTTATTTAAAAGTGGAGATCTCTAGACTTGCCTGTATAGTAAATCTCTTGGCTGTCAGCTATAATTATACCTGTGACTGTTAGAACATTTACACTCCGAAACACAGGGGGAGCTTTAAGTGGATTTTTGGCATGTTCTTTCTTCCTACCTTCTGGCTGTGGTGGAAAGGAGTATGTACCAAAATAGATGAATACAGGAAATGCGTAAATGAGACTTCTTCATATTGGTACCTTCAGTATCTTGCTGCGCATGGGACTTCTGATGATTTGCCTTTAACAGTTTCAGTTTAACTTGCTTCTCTGAGATAAATTGCATAAGGATGCAATAATTGCAGACTATACTTTGAGACACTAAATATGATGAAAGAACGACTGACAATGAAGAAAAACAGATGCAGAGATGCTTGGTGTGGCATAGTGTGACTTGAACTGAAGTCTGGGAGAGGGGGTGGGAGAACTCTCTGAATTGGTAAACTGACAGATTTTGTTTCAGAGCAGGTCGGTTACCATTCACTTTTGCTCTTGGCCAGCGGTGTATATTGAGTATATATACTCAATATATTGAGTATATACACTCAGCGGTGTATTGAGTATGTATATTGAGTATATATGGCCAGCGGTGTATATTGAGTATATATACATGTACTCAATATATATATACATATTGAGTATATATACTCAATATGCAGTAAAAACTTGCATGCTCTTTGTGGGCGCTTCAGAGACCCGAGACAGCTAGTGAGAATATAGGTGTCACATGTATAGAAGGAACTTCCGAAGAGTCCCTAGGGAAAGCCTTTCTTATCTCTGTTCTCTGCAATTTGGTAGTTTGTTTTTAATGACTGAAAAAGTCCATATTTGAAATGAAATAGGCTTTTTTTGCTTAAAGAGAATGATTTGGGGAATGTGCTTTGCTTTCAGTTTATAGGCCAGTCCCTGAAGAAAAGGTATTACAGAAAATCCTCCTTGCAACTGTGCCGCTTCTGGCATTTGAAGCAGAGGCAGAGAAGTGAGATGAAGGATGTGGCATCTTCCAGGGAACAGCTTGGGAAAATTTTCTCATGCTCTTTGTGCCCATCTCTTCTGAGTAAATAAGTCTTCAGTGCTACCATAATCTTGAATTTACTGAAGGTAACCTTGAAGATTTTTGTTTGTTTGTTTGTTTATAGCCTTTAACAAAAACTCATTGGAAAGAGACAAAACCACTAGCATGGCAAAGAACTGTTGTTGTAAAGCATCTGGTTTGTGTATTGCTGCTGTAGGACAGGTGATAATGACTAGTGCATCTATTACTGAGCGTGAGTAAATGTGAAAATATCAGCATAAAACCTATCATCCCACTGCAAATTATGTTGTATTATTTGTGCTAGCAGTGACAAGAGTGAGATTAAAAGCAGTGTAACAGAGTGTGGGGATTTTTCTCCTGCTTAACTGACAGAAATTTGAAGTACTAAGGAGAAAAAATGTGGATTGTGGCAGCCTCTCTCCACGAGGCTCGGTTTACCTCTCTTGCAAGTCCTGGAGCTCTGGCTGAGACTGGGGAGCTACAGGGAACAGTTTGCCCTGTTTCACACAGGGTGAGGCAGCACTTGACCACAGAAGACCCTGAAAAAGCCTGCTAGTATTTGAATGCAGTAATAGTGAGGTTAAGAGGTAGCCTGCCAGTGCTGCTTGAGCAGTATTATTTTGATTAAGTGGAGGAAGTAGGAAGTCAGAAATACAGAGGAGAAATATTTATAATACTTGAGGAAGTGTCTAAAAACTTCACAATTAGAAACTCTTAAGATCCAATAGAAACTCCAGCTGAAAAGTTCCTGTCCTTTCTGTGCCTCCCAGCTGCAACTGAGCAGCCAGAAATGAGTTGTGTGTAGTCTGTGGCACTTCAGTGAGGGAGGGGGAAGTGTCATTGGTCCACAAATGCAGGACATTTTTTGTAGAGCATTTTTGTGTAGGAGCTGATACTGTTGCAGGGAGAGAACTGGAATAAACTGTTCTTTGCTCAAGGATATAGCAAAGGCTGCTGCTTTGCTGATAAAAGATCACGTGGCATTTGTAGGCTTTTTTTTAAACCGGTCTGTGTTGCAGAACTATTTGATTTGTGAAATTTTGCTATCCAGTAGGTTAGTGATGGTATAGTCTGTATTTGCCTGAGCAGTGTAATAAAGGCTCTCCTTTCTGCACTAGGAACATATAAGCTGTTTGTCTTGCTTTTTAAAGTCCTCTGCTTCTTCTTTCTCTCCCTAACTGTTGTCTCTCGCTCAGTCCCGAAGAAAAGATCAATTCCTGCCTCTCCCTGTGATTGCAAAGCCAGGCTGTATCGCCTACTTGTTTTTCAAACAAACGTCTCTGTGTGTTCTCCCCATGTTGCCTCTCAGGCTTCAAAGCAACCCTCCAGAAATATCCACAAAGCTTTCTCCTTACTTCTTAAAGCCTTTGCAATGTTATCCGCAAACCCTTGAGAAGGACTAATGCTTCCGAGGTGCTTTGGCTTTGGATATTAAACAAAATGGAATGTCATTTTGTTTCTTCATTCCTTCATTCCCATCTCTCCCTTCACATACTTAACTTTCTTTTGCAAAGACTGCTTTTTGCCCTGACCCAGAGCTGGTGCTTGTGGGCCCTTCAATAACAGTTGATGAGCAAGAGCTCACGTGTGTATTTGGCACAGTGCTTAAAGAAGTATTGCAATAAGCAGGTAATTAAGTTATCAATGTATCTGTTTTGTCTTCCACAGAAGCTCCTTGTGCTACTCCACTGATCTGTAGCTTTGGAAGGCCGGTGGACCTGGAGAAGGATGACTACCAGAAGGTCATATGCAACAACGAGCATTGTCCATGCAGCACCTGGATGCACCTTCAGTGCTTCTACGAGTGGGAAAGCAGCATCCTCGTTCAGTTCAATTGCATTGGCAGAGCCAGGAGCTGGAACGAAAAGCAGTGCCGCCAAAACATGTGGACAAAGAAGGGATATGACCTGGCTTTTCGCTTTTGCTCCTGTCGGTGTGGGCAAGGTCATTTAAAGAAGGACACGGACTGGTACCAGGTGAAGCGGATGCAGGATGATAAGAAGAAAAAATCAGTGTTGGAGAAGAGCACAGGAAGGTCGATGGCAGAGTCAGCAGAGGAGGCCAAGAAGGGCAGACTGGCCAACAAGCCCCAGAAAGGATTGAGTCACGACCTCCCACGAAGGCACTCGATGGACCGGCAGAACTACCAGGAGGAGAGCGTCATGGGTGGCAGCTATGCTGTTCGCTCGCCTTGTGTCTCTCCCGGCCAGTCCCCACCCACCGGCTACTCCATTCTTGCCCCTACGCATTTCAGCGGCCCTCGTTCCTCACGATACCTGGGAGAGTTTTTGAAGAACGCCATTCACCTGGAGCCCCATAAGAAGAACATGGCCAGCGGGGGCATGTTCAGGAATGCGCATTTTGATTATGGGGCAGCTGGTTTGCAAGCCCATAGATCAGGACACTTCGATGCCCCTGTGCAGTTTTTGAGAAGGCTCGATCTGTCTGAGCTGCTTACTCACATCCCCAGGCATAAATTGAATACTTTCCATGTGCGGATGGAAGACGATGCCCAGGTGGGCCAAGGGGAGGACCTTCGGAAGTTTATCCTTGCTGCTCTTAGTGCCAGCCACAGGAACGTTGTAAACTGTGCACTATGCCACAGGGCGCTGCCAGTGTTTGAACAGTTTCCGCTGGTGGACGGGACCCTGTTCCTTAGCCCATCGAGACACGATGAGATTGAATATGATGTTCCCTGTCACCTTCAAGGTACAGGTTGTCTGTCAGTCATGCCTAGGCTTCATTAAAAGATGGAACTGCCTTCTGTGCCCTGCCTCCCCCCATTTTAGATTTTCATCCTGATTCTGCATTTTTAAGCAGTTCTGTAAAGCTTGGAGTCGCATCCATATTATCACGTGGATCAGATTGAAACACTTAGGAAGGAATTACAATGAGCAAATGCCTTGTAGAAAGATCCATGCCTTGTGTTTAGGTTTACAACTAAGAGATTTCTCATCCAGTTTTTAGGTAGAACATGGGAAGGTTTTCCAGCCACTCTGTTCTACAGCATGTGCATGCTGATTTATCTGCTGTGAGCTTTACTCCAAGATATGCATCAACCTTTTAAACAACCTTTTAAGTTTAAGCATGCTGTGCTGCAACATGGGTGGAAGTTATATTTGTACCAACAGTGAGATGGGATGCCTCTCCTCTGCATTCAGATTAGAGAATATCAGTTTTGTTTTATAGCAAGCTATTTTATTTTTTTTAATGAGGAAAGGACTATAGTCTGGCCTATGTTAACACTGGCCTGGAGAGGTTGGACATACTAAAAGTAAGTTTAATATGATGGGTTGAAGAAGCAATGGTGTAGTGGGGAATTTAGACTTCCACCTGTTCGGACTGCATCCTGATCATGTCCCAGCTCTGAGCTGAGTTAAGACCAAGGCACGTATTACTTTTCTCTTCCTAGAGAAACAAACAGATGTGGGTTAGGCTGAGCTTCAGCTCTTCCTGAAAGCTGTTTCCCAGAGTAAGTGATCAAGGTGGTACACAGCAAAACATGCCTGTCCTGCAGCCTGCTGGCAGCCAGTGTGGCTAAAATAAGGCAGAAAAAGTATTTATAGTTTGGTGCTCAGAAACATAGAATTATACGTTGAAAAGTGTGTTGGGAAGGCATTAATGAGAGGTATTTTAACATTTAAGTTTCTCTCCTTTCAATAAAATTTGTTATATCCCATGCATCATCATAATACGTGTTATGTAACATTCCTTTGCTCAACAAACTTTGTATTTCTTTTCTTTCCTTAAATCACTGTGCACTAAGTCACTAAACTGTATTCATGCTATAACATTATTGTTTCTGTCTTGCCTAATGTACTTTAAGGAGAAAATGTGATAGGCAAATATACAAGATAAATGAGCTCCAGGATAACCAGAATATACATATGTGAGATAATAATGCTTATTTGCTATGGTGGGGAGGCGTGTACAATGAGCTTGTGATTTTATAATTACTAATAGCTGGTTTAGTAATAGTGAAACTCATCACTTGTTAAAATTTGCCACTAAGAATGAAACTGCTGGGTTTTTTTATAATTAGTTGCTCTTTACCTCTTGGAGAATACATCTGAAAAATTTGCTCAGACAAGATACTGTGCATAATTAATTGTTAGAATTTTTACCTCCTTGTCCTGGGTGAAATGGCTTATTATCAAAAGTACATTTTGAAATGAAATTAAGCTTGCAATGTGCTGTTCCAGAGTGTTATTTTCTCTTTAGTACAGAAAATCACTTGTTTTATTTCAGGCATGTTTAAGGTATCGGGTGCATAATTTCCTATAGAACAAGGATCCTGAAAATTAAGTGGTGGGCAATGCAGTATTATAATGTGCAGGAACAGTGCAGAATTTCAGATGGGGAAAAGAATTTTATCTTCCTGCACAACACACAACTTCTGTGTGTGGAATTATTCGAATGTCTCCAATCTCAGTTGTTGACTTGAACAGAGTTTATTATATTTGCACTTTAGCATCGTCACATCATATTTCTAGAGTCAAACACGCTGATGTGGAATAACTCAATTTTTATCAGCTCATATTAGCAAGCTTATTTTATGTGTATATGTATAT